ACCACCTTGACAAAACAAGTGGATAGTTACATATTCACCAGGAAACAAAAGAATCCCAAATACGCTAGAAGCTCACAAATGCACTTAATCCAACCTTCTTTCTGGTCACCACAATCTTGTTTAAAGGCTGAGACCAGTTGAACCAAACACACTGATTTCCAGTTAAACCAGTGCAGAGTGCACTGATATGAGCATTCATACACAGGACCAAAGTACAATCCAAATTACTCAAGTCTACAGCAGATGCAGCTTGAAAAGGTTTCCATCTGACACATTATTCAGACAGGACTGTCATACCCCAGGGTAAGCAATGGCAAAATAAACCATGAAGAAACACTTCTGGAAAGATGCATTAGATTTTGACTCCTCCACCAACACCCAGATCTTCAGTCAGGGAAGAGAACCAAGAAGAATCAAGGGGAGAATATAATCCATTGACTTTCCAAGTTTTGAACAGAAAAATCTCTGTTCCATTTTAAGCTCCTTATTTTCTGTTCTATTCAAAGCAAGCAAAAAGGCACTCATTTTCTCTCCCACATTTCTGGTCTGTTCTGGTTTGAACCTTGTGTTCTCTGCCAGTATCTAAGTTAACTGAGCAGGACTGAGCTAGTCCTATCCTTTCTGAGGGAAACCTGGCTTTATATGAGTGTATCTTGCACCCAACTTTCCCATGTTTCCCTCTTGCCTGAGTTTCCCTATCCCACACACAAGCTTGTCATGTGAGTCTGCATAAAACTCCACACTACACTCCTGATCACGACACACGAATTGCTTGTTCCTGATCCAGCAGGCCTGGCAGAGGCTCACAAGAGCAGCTTATTGCTTTGCTTTCAGAAACCAGGATCTTTATAAAGTAGAAGCCTAAAAATCAAACACTACCTGAATAGCATGGACAAGGTAGTAGCGGAATAAGCTGGTTTTGAGCTTGTTCACTGTTGGCCGATACACGTCTTCCAAACGGCTGAAAAGGCGTCGGTCCAGATAACTCCAGTAATCCCGCAGGGCAGCCAGATCGTAGCTCTGAACAAACTGCTGCAGCTGGTCCACTATCTTATCCACCTAAAGAGGGCAAAACAGAGAACACTTCAGCCACGTGAGGGCTCTTGAGGCACAAGACTTTCTGGAACTTAGTGCTGAGAAGCTTTAACTTTGGAAGTAGTACAGTACAATCCTTATCCATTAGCTGTTTTCTAATCCTGGAAACACTCTGCATTTTGTATTAGCATTCTTCCACTCTGCAGCATATTGCAAATGAAGGAAAAAGAAATATGACAGAGCATAGCCAAACAGCTATTGATGGAAAAATCACATTTTGTTGAACCCAACTGATGGGTTTTTTTGCAAGTAAGCAAAACTTCTACCTCTTTCAAAAGTCACTTTATAATAATAATAAAGTGAATAAATGTTGAAAACTCAAGTGCAGCACCTAAAAAAAAACGTATTATTTTTAGACTAGAAGGAAAAATACCCGCATTTAGCCAACAGAAAAAACTCAATTCCGCTCCACTGCAATCTTTGAAATGTGTTTATCTTTAGTAACATCATCTACTAACAGGGCATGCATAAGATTTTGCAAAAGGATTTTTTTTTTGTCATTATGTCTCTTTGGAATTTTTTTCTGCAGCATGAATAAGGTGGAATGGTGGTGTGGAAACAGATTATTGTTCAGTGGTTTCTGATGGCCGAGATTGTCATCAAAAAAAGAAAAATCTCCATCCTGTATAAAATTAAACTAAGGTTGTTTAATATCTGGTTTAGTCTCCCCTCATGAGCCAGTATCTTAGGACATACCCAACTTTTATCTCTGTGGCTTCCTACAGATATAGAAAACTGAAGTTTGTGAGCCCAGCAGACCCTTCTTGGACAATTCCGATTAAGTCAGCTGTTTGCCGACCTCTACACATTAGCAAAAGTGCTTTTAAAAAATAAAAGCAACATGCTTTATTAATGATAAAAGTAGTGCTTATATTGCCGGTCAAAGAAAAATCTGACTGCTCAAAGCACTACATTCGGTGCCTAAAACTGTTGCTACAGGAATACAAGCTCACGCGAAGGACTGAAACTCTGTTTTTGAGACTGGCAAATTTTGTGCCTATTTCCACACGCTAGTCAAGGCAGCTGGTACTCAAGACATACAAGCTAAAGAGCGGAGCTGCAAAGCTGCCGGATAAAAATCTCATGACTGAGAAAAGAGGCAGGCAAAGAAATGCCTTCCTGCCCTCTCGGTCCACGGTTCTCCTCCGTTTTTCTCGTCTCAAAGCCGAGAATCCGCTGGCGGGTCCCAGGTCGGACGCAGGGTCCACAGAGGGCCGGGCTGGCCAGCGGCGCGGGGCGCCTGCCGGGAGCTGCAGCCCCTGGCTCGGGAGGCAGGCGAGGTGATGGAGCCCCCTGTCCTGCGCTGCCGGCGCTCCGGAGCCCAGCGGGAGGGGAGCCTTCATCCGGCTACGGCCCCCGCCCGGAGGCTGCGCGTCCCAGAGCGGCGGCAGAGCGGCCCGGGCGCCTCCGGGACGCGGGGGTCCCGCCTGTGCGGCCGGCCGGGCCCCGGCGCCCAGCGCACTGGGCCGGGGCTCCAAGGGCTCCCCCCGCCGCCAGGCCCGCTCCCCTCGCCCAGCCCCCGGAGCGCGGAGAGGCGCCCGCGGCCCGCCCGGGGACCCCGTCCTCCCCGGGGGGCACCCGCGGCCAGCGGCCCGCCGGGAACGGGGACGCGGTCGCCGCTCACCCGGAAACCCTTCTCCCGGTCCGCTTTGATTTCGGCGTCCAGCTGCTTCAGGGCGGCGGTGAAGCCGCGGAAGAGCAGGTACTCCCGCACCAGCTCGTCCGTGCGTTCCGCCGCCGCCGCCATGGGTGCCCCGCGGCGCCGCCGGCTCCGCCCGCCCACGGGCGGGGAGGGGACGGCCCCACCCGGCCCAGCGCCAGGGGGACTACAGCTCCCAGCGTGCCTTGCGTGCCCTGCCCGCCCGCCTCACTCCCCATTCCGCTGGCGCGTCCGGCCCGCCTTTTTCCCTCCTTCTGATTGGCCGCGGCCGGGCGCCGGCTGCGTGCCGATTGGCCGGCCGCCACGTGCGGCTGGTGTTGCTTGGCGCGGGCGGCAGAGGCGCGGCGGGGCGGCGCGGGCGGGGTCCGGGCGGCGCGAATTGATTGACTGATAGATTGATAGACAGACCGAGCGGTCCCAGAGGCTCCCGGCGCGGCCCCTCACGGGATTTCCCCCCGCCGGCCAGTCCCTCCCGACCTCAGAAGGAGCAGCAGGGGCGGGCACTCTTGCTTCTAGGCTGTGCTTGCGGTCGGTAGCGAGGCAGGGGGCATTAGTCCAGGGGAAGGCCGGGAAGGGCTTTCCAGGCGGGCGCCTCAGGCTTTGTCAGGGCGGCGGGGCAGCTCCAGCAGGCCCGGCTGGGCCTGGATCTGGCCCTCTCGTGCAGGAAGAGTATGTCTGGTATCGTTGCCCACACCAATGTGTCACAGTGTATTGGGAAAAAAACAATCAGTGTTATAAATGAAGCCGAGCCCTGGATATTCCATGGAAATGAAACATAGATCCAGTGTAGGGAAGGGTGCAGGAGATGGGAGGCTGGCTTCAGCTTGGTTGCTGTTAATTATTAGTGGCGAATTAAGTTTTAGTAAGTACTGAATAGGCAGGTGTCTCTCAGGCAAAGAGAATATTTCAAATTCCCATGATTTTCTAAGCCAGATAAACAAGATTTTTTCTTTTTGTCTATCCACTATGCAGGCTGTAAGATTTCTTTCTCTTTATTTACATATTTATTCAGTATAAATAAATGTTGCATTGCAGCTTTCAACAGGCACAGCTGGAGACTGTAGGAAGACACATGCCAAAGTGAGTGTCAATCCCCTGAGACACCTGCAAGAGGTAGAACACTGCATGGCAAAGCAGCACTTGCCACAGGTACACCACTGGGTTCCTCTGGCAAGACTCTTCAGCAGCTTGCAGGGAAGAGTTTTATCCCAGTCAGACAACTGTGCCTCAAAGGTGCGGAACAGTGACTATTTCTCTGTGCATCATTCTAATACATGAGTATGTTCAGATTTAACTAGGTTTAGGTTCAGTCTGTGAGGATGTGTCTTTATGGGTGCCAGCATGTGTGTAATTTCACTGTATGCACCTTTCCTGTATCTCTTTAAAGCTGCCAACTCAGCCTAAGCGAGTTGTCCAGTTTGTAGTTGCTGGGTCATGGGTTTATCATGTGCCTTATCTGTACTTTTCTTGCAGGCTTTTTGCAACATTTTTGTGGCTTTGCATTTATTTTTATAGTATTTTGGAAACAAACCAAGAGATCCCATGATGAGGTTGATGGCACAGCATTTTGTTCTGAAATCAGAACAGTGAGTTTAGAAGGAGTTAAAGGGAAAGGAGCAATTCATTCAGCTTTATGAGGTTCACTTTGTCTTCAAGACACTGGAAAAATAAGTTCAGGAATAAAAACAAGCACCGCTGCTGTTTCTTGGCATCTACTAAAGGAAGAAACTATTAAAGCCAAATTGTTTATAAAGATTTTTTATAAAGAAATTTACTCAAAATACTACTGAAAAGACTGAAATTACCATGCTCCAGGGAGAAGAGTAATCATTTGAGTATTTTCTCAACTCTGCCACCGATTCGTTTAGTTACATTGGTTACCTTGGGTTTTCCAGTTTGTTAAGTAGAGGGAGTAATGATTGTTTAGGACAGGAATTGTTCCTCAAATATGCTAAATACCACTAAATGTGGCCTGTGCCTGCTGAGTCCCTTAGGCCTTGTGTAGGCTAAGGTAAGAGTTCAGTTTGCCATATTCTGAGCAAGATACAAGTTAACCTGAAGTCAGCAGGACGTCAGAAGCCAAGCCTAAACATCCACTTCCTTTGCCTGGTCTAAGGGGACTGTGTTCACATGCCAGTTCTTGAAATAGCTTTTTCATAGTGTCTTATGCCCCCTGTGTGACTCTTGGGAGCCAAGGAAGTTTGATATCTTAAAAAACCTTAATACAGAAGGTTGTAATCCCAGTTCTTCGTGCCTGGCTAAAATATCCAGCATGAAAGCTCTGCAAGGTAAATATGGATGGTCTCACCACGCAGAAAAATCTTGAAATATTTTGGAGATGTGTATGTTTAAATGCACTGGCCATATGTTTTCAGTTGTGCTTGGTATAGATGATGAAGGAGTGATGTGCAGCACTGATGTTAATCCTGTTAACCCAGACTTTTGCTAGGAGAAGCCTTTGCCATGTTCTATGCTGCTGTAATGCAGGTTACAGCAATGTAGAACATGGCAAAGGCTTCCCCTAGCAAAAATCTCATGGGAAATCATTAGTGAAGTCTTATGCCTTAAGTTGGTAGGCATCCAACAAGACTTCACAGCATGGTATTTCTGGACATGCTCCAAGAAGAGAACAATCCAAACAAAATCATTTGCTGATGACAAAAGATCAGAGTAAAGTAGCAAATGTCTGTGTGTCTGGGTGTTATGTGTATGTATTGCATAATATATCTCCAAAATATTTATATTCTATATATAAGTTTACTCTCTTGTTAATTCTTCCCCCTTTTCATATGTATAAGGGTAGCTATTGAAGCAACACAGAGACATGAAAATTACTGAAGGTAAACATGAAGGAAAAGCAAAGCAACGAAGGCATGTTAAAACATGAATCTAGTTAGAGCAGAGAACTATCAGTTCTGTTTTCTTCTTATGTTTAGTATCAGGTTTTGCGTAAGGCTAAGACATCTATCCAGAAGCTGGAGCAAACCTTGTGTTCTTTGCTGAAGATGAAAGGTAACTGTATGCAAGTATTTTCTTGACAAAGAGCCTGGATTTGGTTTTTATGTATTTGTTAAATAGAGACAGAGGTACACAGCTGAGCCCATTAAAGCCTTGCAGCCAGCTTTAGTTTTTAGGCTTTAGTTGTAGCAATAAGTAAGGGATAGTGAGAAGTCTGTCAATCTACTGGGCACGGTATCTCAGAAATCCCCCTCTGACTCAGTCTTTCCTACCCACTCCCCAGCCTAGGTGAAGGAAGGAAACAAGCAATCCCTGCTATCCCATGGCAGCAGGCCATCCAGGCTGAGTACCCTGCTTCACCCCAGCAGGTGTGGGGCTGGCATGTGTCCCCAGGCTGGATCCTTAGGCTCCCACTCAGAGCCTGCAGGAGCTGTGTGCTCCTCCTGCCCACAGCAGAGTGGCACGGTGCGAGCCACAGCTGCCACCAGCCCTGCCAGAGCTTAGACTGCACAACAGCACCCTGCAGTGTGAGGTAAAAGGATTTCCTAGGGTAGGAAATGGAAACCTCTGGTTAAGAATGTACTCTAATATAAATGGTTAAGAGAGATGATACAGTTTTGTTGTCTTTCAGCTTGGCGGGCCATCCTCGCACCCTGCTCTTGTGGCTGCACTTGTGGCAGCTCCTGCTGTGGAGCCTCATGCCCAAAAAACTTGCCTTCTGTTTAGTGCTGCTGGCCACAGCCTCTGCTGGCAGCAAGCAAGACTAGGGGCTGATAGGATAGAGGCTTTGGTCATATTTTTTTGTCCCTTCAAGTGTCCAAATTCCTGTCAGCTAGAAAAAAAACTGCTATTCATGTGACTTGCACCTCCAATAATTTGCATCAATTAGAAGTCTCAGTGCTTAAAATTAACAACCTCATCTGAACCCACATCCTTGGATAACCCATAAAAATGAGTCACAGGTAGAAAGAATAGTTTGAATGAGCAAAATTGAAAGGATAACAAGCAGTGAGGCTGGTTGAGCAGAGTTTGAGGCAAGCTTCCCCTTCTATGTATTTGCATATATGTAAAATCCATAGTGGTTGTGTATCACAGGTTGGATGTCAGGGTTTTTCATATGCAATTTGTTCATTATAAGGTAATAAAAAAATATTGTATTGACTAGTGTGTGCCAGGAGTTTGATTTGTAGGTTGTTTTCACCATCAGTTCTGTAAAATCAATGTTGGGAAGAAGGCATTGATTCTAAGATCCTCATTGTTCATAAACTCCCTGTAGTGCTATTTACGTTGTAGGAGAGACAGATGCTTCTTCTTTCATGTAATTTTTTGCCTAATGAAAAGCTCTGGATTGTGAAGAAGCATTTTGCTTGGTTGGGGCTGAGGGTGAGAGAGAAATGAAAAGTGCCATTGATGTGACAGTAATCTTTCTGCTGACAACAGCGAGCTGCGGTCTGGAGGATGGGAGCCCATCCAGCTTGGAGGAAGTCAGGGAGGAATATGTCAGGAGGCAATTCGGAAGTCCCAGGTAAGGGCTTATACCAGTCAAGAAAAGATTTTAATATTTTGCACTTGCTTCCATCCCAGCATCTCTGAAACTCTTTGTCATTGCTACTGTATTTCCAAACAGAGGTTTTTCATCATGTGGAAAGGACAAAGAGTTTTCACCTGGACCGCTGTAATCCCATGGAGTGCACGAACATTCTAAGCATGTTGTTGGTCTCATTTCCAGTCAGTGGTTGTATTTTTTTTTCCCTTCTATGTAGCTGATCTCTGGCAAGGATTTCTCATTGTCTGAAAAGCAAAAGAAGGAGGAAAACCTGACTTGGGAAGAATGGCCCTAGGCTCTGGAGTGACATGACAAGGGCATTATCAATCCAGTTGAGAAGTTATTCATGTGGCTTTTTCCCCTTGTGCTCTTTCCAGCACTACATCAGCCTCAGAAGATATGAGTGAAAGTGACTCTGCCATCTGGTATTTGCTTCAAGAATGTGAAAAACAAACACTGGAAGAATATGGGAAGCCAGAACTGACCCAGTTTTCAGACACTTTATCCCCAGATCTAGTGGAATTTGAACGGTAGGTGCACCCCACGTTGCCTTCAGGTTTTTAACTTGTTTGCATTATCACTGTGCATCCAGGCATTGCCGTTCATGCAGCCCTGCTGGAGCCTGCATCTGCCTCACAGAAGCCTTGTGCCAGCAACTTTGGCCCTGCTGGTGATGAAGCTGATGACTTCCTAAGTCCCTGCAACTTGCACATGAATGAACTCTTACAGTTGTGGCAGTCCCCGGCTTTTCAGGCCTTGGTAAATCCCTGAGGATTTTTCACCCCTTAAGAAAATAGAAGAAAATTTCTTTCAAGTGTGTCTGTCCCTGTGTTGCCACACTTCACCGCTGTATCCCTGCCATGGGGCTAGATTTTAGGAGGGTAAGAATTGCTGCACCAGATGAATTTGCCAAGAGTCTAGGTGTATGTGTTCCAGGGAGGTGCAGGAACCAGAGGTGGGCACATTATTTTCCTCACATCACATTGCTCATCCTTCCTCTAATGCCATTGTTATGAGGAGCTTGAACACTGTTGCCCCTTCCAGAAGCAGACCCTTATCTCCTGACACTTCAGAGTACTTTTTTAGTGGGATCAGAGTAGGGTAAGGCTGGATCCAGCCAAGGAAGTTCTTGTAGTCCTCAGCCTCTGGGCTGCAGAATAGTGGTTGTCTGGAAGGTACCAGGAGGCATTCTGCAACAATGCAAAACTGGAACACTGGGGAGGGGGGGAGCCTAAACACTTGTGTGTTACACTTGGAGCTAGTGGATGTGAGTCTGTAAACCCTTTAAGCTCCTAAATACCTGGTGTTGGTCCTAAAAGTCAAAGACCGCTGTTCTCATGTCAGTTGTCCATGTATTTTATTTGGAAGTCATAATGGTAAAATTACTGTTTTTTTCCAAAATTACTGATATCTTAAAACTGAGTATTATACTCCATGTTCTCCCCCTTCTTGTCAGACAACACTAGGAGGTACTTAGAGGTTTTACCCTGAATTTCCAACAGGATAAATGATTATTTTATTGCCAAGATATGAGAAATCGATGCATGTATAATTGATCATGTACCATCAAGCAGTCAATTTCACCCTAACCGTTCCACAGTTAACAACAATCAGTGCAGGAGAATCTAGAGCTGCAGCTGGCATCCTCTTCCATGGCATCACCACTGTAACCAAAAACTTCTGCAGTTCCTTCTTTTCTTTTGCTCTGAGCTGCTGTGCATTTCTAAAACCCCCCGTCGGTCACCGGGTTTTTCCTCAAAAGGAGACTGCAGCTGGACCAGCAGATGGCACCAGCTTCCCACTCCTGCTCCTGCTTTTGCTCATGTTAGAATTGGCGGTGGCTGTAGTTAAACTGTCGTTTAGAAGACCTTGAAATGTGCTGAATCCAGATTTTCAGGATTAGAAAAATCTGCATCATCAAAGACAGCACGACAGAGCCATGTTTATGGCTTACATGTCCTTTACTGACGATGTAGACCAGTGCCTGTACTGTGTAGACTCTCTGGCACTTACCCTGTGGTCCTAGATTGCATTTGGTTTATAGCTAATTCTTGTCAAAAAATTACCTTTCATAACAGGCATAAAACGACAAGGACTCTTCAGCAAAGACAGAAACAGCCTTTTGGTGATCATTTAATCACATTATTTGGGAAGCATCAGAAATGCTATGAGCTTAAACTATCTGGATATTTTCCTATGTTCAGCAGCAGGAGATACATTGGTAGGACCTCACAGTACTCTGTCCCCTGCAAAATGTGATTGTCTCCTTCCAGCTGGGAAGGAAGTAGCTGAGTCATGCTTCAAGCTTAATTTCTATAGCAGATCAGTCTAATGGTGGTTCATGTTCTTCTGCTTGAGAAATTCCAGGTTGTTTGTTTGGAGATGGACATCCAGAAAGCTTAGTAAGTGCATTACCTTACATGAGAACACTTATTTCCCTTCCAGTATTTTGTCTCCAGCAGTGGTGGAAAATACTCCAGAGTGTGGAAACTGGGGTTTAAACAGGTTTATGCTTGCCTACAAAATTATATTTTCAATATTGGTTTGCTGGAACAAATATTTACAAATAAAAAAGAAAAGAATGACCTCTTTTGAGTTACTTTCTCATGCAATACTGTTCAGTTAATCAGGAAATGTGCTCATTTGGGACATCTTCCAAGGAATCATTTTGAGCCCAAACATAGTAACAATGACTGCTGCTTATAGAACTCTTGGTTTGTACTCCTTTGATCTTTTTATTTTCATCTGAGACTCTCTAAGCATATAATTAACATTAAATAACCTTCAGTGCTGCTTTCTGAAGTCGACATTATTATCCTTGGTTCACTGTGCCACACAGCGCTAACAGAAGAAGCAGGCTTGTTCTGAGATTTAGTCACTGGGTTGAAATTATGACCCCCTATGTTCCACCACCAGTTTCACTGCAGACTGCATAGATGTCAGTCTTAGGGATGTGGTTCCTTAGATATAAAATGGAGGAAATGGAGCTCCCATTATGTCAGAGCATCCAGACCTGGGCTGGTGTCTGTCTGTCTGCATGTACAGTACCTAATGCATCAGGATATGACCTCAGCCAGGGCTTTAAAGGGTATGCCAGTAAATGTATAAAAAGTGACTTGCAGTGCAAAAGGTTCAGGATACAAAGGCAAGTAACTGAAAATTTATTAAATTCCAGAGTAGTGTTTGCCCATGCAACCCATACAGCCTGCAGTGCCTGGAGCTTCTGCTGTGAGGCAGTCCTGCTGAGGCTGAAGCTGGAGCCTGCTTTTGTGTTAGGCATCATTCAGTAATTGTATGGTGTCTTGGAGCAGAGTCAGTGAAGTAGCTATGGATCCCAGTAGCTGATTTTCAGTAGATGGCTGCCTTATAGCCTGCTCTTAAGAGATACCTCCTTTCCTTTCCTTCCAGATACCTGTATTTTTATAAGCACACAGTGGACCTGCTGATAGAGCATGGAGTTATTTGCACTGGAGAGGTGCCTCTTCCTGAGGTCTCCACAGCTATTTCCCATCTCTGGCAAGAGCTTTCTGAAGAGAGCAGGGACAGCATCTTGCAGTACTGTAGCCAGAGAGATTTCCTCATGGATCCCAAGGCTGCTTGCCCAGAGCCTGCTTGCACTGAAGGTAGTGTGAGGGACAGCGGAGGTAACAGTGAGGAAGCCAGTGGTTCCTCAGTCTCCACACCAGAGGAAGTAAGTGCTCAGCAACATTCATAGTCTGCCTCTGAAACTCCAAGCCTCCAGGTGACAATTGGCTCTGCAGCTTTTAATTGCAAACATACAGTAGTTGTAACTAAGCTTCCTCAAGATCACTGGAATGCGTAAGTGGAGACAATAAGCAGTCTTTGAGTAAATGTCTGCACCAAATTTTCTCTTGGTAGGATGCTTGTCAAACTACAGTAGTAGGTACAGGTAGCAATCCTGCTAGTCTCCACTGGCTTGTGGAGTTCCTATGCTAAGTAACAGTTAAATTTGCTCCTACCTTGCTCTAGGGACAGGGAGCAAGAAGAAGAATTATACAGTTACTGTGCTCTGCAGACTCTCCAAAGAGCACAGATGATCTAAATCCAGAAGGGATACCTAGCTTGCCAAAGCCTGCTGTGTTTTGGGTTGGGTGGGGTTTTTTCATCAAAGCACTGAGTAGCAAAGAGAAAATATTTTTAGACCAGTCCCAGTGGTACAGGGGCCAATGACTGCCTGTACCGTGCACCTCTGCAGAGCCAAGAAGTCAGTGACTGAGTAGGCATGAGCATTTATTAATAAGAGATTGATTAAATAACAGCCAGTTCTAGAAATGGTTCCTGGAGCACTGATTACTGAAGTAACTAGCTGCTGGAAGAGGTATGTGTAATTTCATTAGCTGCAAGGAAGGGACAGATGTTTACCTTTAGCATGTAAGTCAACTGCATTGGCAAGTTCTTTTTGAGTCACAGGACACAACTCATATTGCTTGTTGCCTTAGGAAATGTGGTGGGAATGTTCCCTGTACGGTATTTCTGGCACAGAAAGTGTGTGAACTCCATTATGGCAGGGTGAACTAGTGAGTTTAGTGGTCTGGCATAAGGAGCATCCTATCTCCTTTGTAAAGTCAATTTTGGAGAGATTGGCTGGTACAGCTGAGATCTCCAGCCATAAGCAGCAGTCCACAGTCAAATCTCTAAAGCACTGATATAATTCATGGTTTTTATTGATTTTTTGGGAGATGTAATGTGAAGTCTAATTCCTAGAGGCTGAAGCACAGGCTTAAGGGAGTGGACTGACCTTGTGTTCCTAGCCATGAAATATAGTTATTCCACATTATTCCTGTCTCCACAAAACCTCTTGGTTTACTCTAGCTGTAACCATACCTGTTAAATGTAAAGAGAGAATATAACAGTTTTAAAGACTTCATTATTAGGAATTATGCCCTAGATAAAACTTTTAGTTGGCTGGATATGCTGACTTCTGAAATTATTTCTCTGCTAGGTGATGTTTGAAGATGCATTTGACGTTGCTGCTGGTTTCCTTGACAGAAGCAAGGCTCAGGGAATGTCCAGCCAGAGGTAAATTACAGACACTCCCCACTTGGTACACACAGTATGTTAATAGCCCACCATCAGAACTCCATGCCAAGTGCTCTGTGGAGTAAGGCAACAGCTCTCTTTTGTAATAAATGGTCAGAATAGCGGCGTCCAGCAACTGTGCTCACAATAATACTTCCTTTTAAGAGGAAAAAGTGAACAATTAATGGTCATTTACAGCAGAATCAGTAAGAATCACTTATTAAGAGCAGCCCATCACTTCAGGATAACTGGGTTCCTGATTTTCTTTGCCATTCTGCACAGCTTTCTGTCTTTTCAATTTACAATACTCATAATGTTTTCCTTTTCTCTCTGTCACTTACCAGGCCTGTGAGGACCAAGAGGCATTCCCTGATAAATCAGCTCATCATAAACCATACGCTTATTTAATGAGATAAATATGATAATTTTTCAACATTTTTTCCCTTGTCTTTCCCTAATTCAGTCACATGGAGGTGATCAGGTTAAAGTGTGGTTGACCTGAACAGTAACACCAAAGAAACGCAGGACCTTTTAAATAATAACATCTCTTTCCTCTTCAGTTCAGATGAGTTACCTAGAAGAGAACATGTCAAATACAAAGCTAGCACTTCTTTTGATTTTTCCCAGTAGACCAAAGAAAGAAAAGCGTTGTTTTCCTCAAGAGGAAAATCACATTATGATTAATCTTTTGTGTATTCTTTCTACTTATTCTTTGTTAGGATTGTTTCTCTTTGCAAATAGTGTTTTTAATCTGTGGGGATTTTATCACATTTTCTACTTATTTTTCAACACTTAGAATGATCTTTAATGTGAATCTCTTCCTTTCACCACCACTCCAGGTTGTACTTCCAGAAGAGAATAAATTAAAAAAGGTTGTTTTGGCTGATGATCAGAATATACTGGAATGGATGAAAAAGCTTAACAAATATTTATTTATTAAATAGCATTTATTAGGTCACAATTTCCATTTTATTTTAAAATAAGATTAAGTATTCCTTAATACGGCAAAGTATTACTATAATCTTTAAAGTCTGTTGCAGGTCCCAAATTAGTTTGCTATTTCAATAGTCAACATTTATTCTTTTCTCTTTCTTGCCTGTTGTTCTGCACATTGTAATGTAATGAGGTGTGATGGCAGAACTTTGTAAAACAAGAAGAAAGAGGTGAGGTCCAGAATGAAAAGCTTAGCTTTGTGCCACAGTTACCTGAGAACAAATCTGCCAGTTATAGCTAACACATCAGTTCATGACCACAGGTTACTGCATTCACTCCAAAACTTTACAGAGGAACTCAAAGCTGTTCTTCTGAACAACCCTACCAAATACACTCCCAAATAACCATTGCTGCTGTCTGTTTTAATGGATATTTACTTTTCCCCAAAACAGTGTCACTATGCTGTAATGTATCAGCAGATCTCCTTGTGACACCAGTTTCTTGTATTTCTGTTCTCTGTTCTTATATATCTACCTTGCTCTTGGCAAAGAGTTATCAATACATCCATCACAACTCCCCCCTGTCTTGCTTGGCTATTGTCTTTAATATCAGAGCCATCTTGAAAACAATTTGATTTTTTTTTTTTTAATTTACAATAAAAATGTAGAGGAGAGAAAGTAAGGAGAACAGAACAGAAAATTAAATACAGTATCTGATTCCATTTTCAGTTCAGCATTTGCAAGCTGCACTCCTGAAAATCCAGAGGATCACCAGAGACTCTATCTGCAGGTCACTGACTTCCTAAAACACCTCTTCTTCACTAATGCACAGTTTTCCCAGGTAAGCCTTGCCAAAGGATTTCTTATAGAAGGAGCAATGTATTTCAGAGCAATATCAGGAAGGGATTTTTGTATTCAAACTTCTGATCATATTGTCCAGAATGATTACAAATAAGAACTTGGGGTTCATCATTTTAGATGTGTCATTCCAAAAGGCCAATAGGATTGCCTTTGTAAGAGGTTAAGTGTGAGCAAACACTGCTTTGAATATTATTCAAAATGGCAAATGACATGAGGAATTGTAAAAAAAATAAAAAATAGTATTATTATTGTTTGCATGAAAGTTCACTGTGGAAAAGCTTTAGTGATCTCCTCTGAGCATGTAAATCTCACTTTCCATTTCTCCATCAACCCCCAGCTGCTTCATTCTGACCATTCAACCACCTTCTGCTTGTCTGGGTGCCAGGTTCCCTGCCCCGAGCCCTCCACTGGCAGGCCCTAGAAGCAGGATATTCGTGTTCTTGAAAGAGCTGGTGAAAAGTACCTGACCTTCCTCTTAACGTCAGCCTACTGTTGCAGTTTTGCTGAGCCAGAAGTCTTTGTGTTTGCATTGTTCTTCCTCTCCTTGTCTCCCTGCCATGGAGGTGGCTCAGAGCTTGCACGTGGGTGAAGAACCGAAAGGGACATACCCCTCAAGCAGAGTGTGCTTGTATTGGTTCAGAGTCAGTGGTACCTCCACAGTAGCCCCTGGTTTGCTGGTTTCTATTGCCTAGCTCCCTCCTGGTCTTTGAGCAGATGTTCCTTTGAAGGCAAATAGAAGGTTTGTGATGAGGGGTAGTTGTGACAGAAAACAAAGCAGAAACTGGTGTTGCACCACTATTGGAATCCATCATGGAGAGACTGCTGAGTGCCATTTGGTTCCCCCATCCTGGAGAGAGTAGCACTAGAGAGGTGCAGAAAATGGCAGCAAGCACAGGAAAAGGCATTGAATAGAAACTTAATAGTAGGACTTTTCTACAAAAAAAAAAAATGACTGAGAGGTACTGTAAGAGCATTTTATTTGTACATGGTGGGGATTTGGTACACAGAATGATTAGACATTGTGTCTAACACCAGAAGAGCTAGAAAGCACTAAATAAAATTTAAAGAACAACATATTAAAAATATTTGCATATACAGATTGCCACATTTAGACTCCAGGGTCATCAGTCCATGGGCAATTACTAAATCTGAAGGTCCAGATTAAATTTCCAGTGCAGGAGGGCCTCACAGCCCAGTTTGCTATAATGTACGAGCATTTATTGCAAAACAGAGCACACTGTGTGTCAAATTATTGCACTTTTTTCTAAACTTCCCCTGCTGACTGTTGTCAGAGACCAGGCACTGACCTACGCAGCCCTCTGTGAATAGCTATGTTGTGTGTAAGAGCAGGGTTCTTCTTGTGTTTAAGTGAATTCCTATGAACTCAACAGGCCTAGAAAAGAAAGAAAAGCTTTGGGCAAGATACGGCATTTCTGGTTTTAAATTTCTTTTGTGAGTGTCATGCCTGGCATGGTCTCATCTTGTCCTTCTGCTTGGGGCTGCCTCATTATGTGTGAGCCCAAGTCTATCTCACAGATGAGGTGGTATGGGAAGAGGTAGTGTCTCTTTCAAGGTTTAAAGAGGCACATTTAAAGTAAGACTAGAAGAATGGGAGTGATGGGAAGACAAGCAGAAAAAGAGCCCAAAGTACTGCAAATTGGCAGTTGACTGTACTGTGTGGATCCAAAAGGAAATAAAAAGCTGCACAGGCTTCTTTTACGCAGGAACTTTTAGTTATCTGTGATAAGACAATACAAAGGGAGTTTGAGCAGAAATCACCCAGGCTAGATAATATGAAGGTTACAATCTGTTTTGATTTAGAGTGCAGAACAGCACATCTAGACAGTGCTACCAAGAGGTGAAAAAGTAGAAGAAAGGAAATATGACTGACAAGATATTTTTTGTTTTGAGAGCAGAAGTTCGGATCCATCTCAAAGCAAACAGATTGAGACAGTTATGAAAGTGGTTGCAGAGCAGGGATAGAAGATGTTCCAGCTAGCTTGAAAAACACCAACTCAGGCAGCAGCAGAGAGATCAGTATAGGCTACTCACCTTACCCCAGAAATTGTGCTACTCAGAGCATCAGAGACTCCTGGACTTGACAGGGAAAGGAACCCATCCTGCTTACCTTATGGGTATGACTGAACCTCTGCAGACCATTCCCCTTCCCCTGATGTGGTACCTGTGCTGGTGCCGTGCTAGCACAGGAGTTTGGGCAGTGCTGGCATAAATTATCTCAAGGATAAAGCAGTGTCCCAGTACACTGTGCACACACCTTGTAGAAGATACAGAGGTGGGTAGCAAGTACAGTAAGTACCGAGGTAAGGCGTGCACCCCACTGAAATACAAAAGGCAGCCCATGGTCTCCTTTCCTTTCACCTGCAGAGCTGACGAGGTGATGGATTTTATTGCTGGTCATTCGTGCCACTACCATGTTCTGTCATTTCTGGTTAACTGTCCAGGTACAACTACAACTACTGCTGTTGGATTGTGGATGGTCACTGTTTCACAGTCACAGAGCTACTGAGCACAGCTCCTCTTGAGCCGCTGCCCTGGCTCTCAAGGCTGCCAAGGGCATGCACCCCACTGAAATAAAAAGCTTCAGAAAAACTCGCACAAGAGGAGGGGGGAAATAATTTGGACAAGGAAAGGAAGAGGTCTTAAAAGGGCAGGGACTCCAAAATGAGAACAGGAGCATACTTCTACAGTATGTGATAGAGAAATATTTCTGAGCATGAGATCAGTTACGCAATCCTGTAATTTTTCAAGAGCTGTTGTCTTAAGATCATATCATGTGAGAAGCTTAGCAGCAAAGGCAGGAAAGAGTTAATTTAGACTGAGATCCAAAGGTTTTACCTGAAAGTAACTCAGCGGGTTTTTTTTTCCTAAATAGTACTGAGCACCTTTGTGTCTTCAAAGGCACGCTTTCTTTTAAAATTATGGATTTAGATGAATCACTTGACAAGCAAGTGGTATTTAGTGCTCCTTAAGCTATACATTTTTAAACAGCACCTATTTTTAAAAGCGGTATTTTATTGAAGATTCTTGCATCAATGCAGAGACGGACTAGATGGACTGCAGACATGAACACTTTTATCTTCCAGACTTTGATTTTCAAGAGCCACTTTTTCTCTGTAAACTGGTGAAAGAGAAGACCATTTCATTCTGTTGCTAAAAGTGGAGAAAAGCCTGAAGTTGGTAGAACTTAAGGCCTCAAGGAGCGAGCCTGTTATATGACATACTTGCTACCACAGTCAGTAACAGCTGTCTAGATGGTGTAAATAGACACAGGGTGGAGCCCTGTGATTTTAGAAGGAAATTGGCAGAAAATTTGAGCCATTCGTCATCAGGCACCTCAGGAACTCACCAAGTGCTGGTGGCTGATTCAGAGAGGAGGGAGGGCTCATGCTGCATTTTCTGGTACATCAGCTTTTGACCAAGTTGCTGTATATTTGAAATTCAAAACTCCTCTGGTTTTTAATCCTGCTTGACTTTGGGGGGGCTTTCAGGAAGAAGATCTTCCCTATGATCATGAGACAGTGATGCTACGGTGCACTGAGACCTTCGATGATGAAGATTTCTAAACAGTATCTCCACTAATGTTTTGCCAAGCACTGCCAGGTACACCAGGCACATGAGGAGGCTTCACCTCTTTCGGTGAGCTGCCTCTCTAAGCAGTGTGGAGACACTGTGTTGAAGTGGTTTGTTACCATTGATTTCTCCTTCCCTCTTTAGTACTTCTTGATATATCAGTTGAGTAATTTATACTTTTTAAAGTTTTTAAAGGTCTTAGCTATTTATTAATAAATGTTTTTACCCATTGCTATTTAATGTTTAGCCTTGCTTCACAAAGAAACTGAGGCATGTACAGTTAAGTGACCTTGCCTAGCATAAGGTGTGGGAAGAGCAGCAGGGAGGCCAGATCAGTGGCAGTCTGCACACTCCCACAGGATGCAGTCTCAAACTGCAACCTGCAAAAGCCTCCTCCTGACAGTGATTACTTTTCTAGTGCAATTTTTCATCTTGGGCTGACAAGGAAAGAGGGATTTCCTCACAGAGAGTGGGATGAGACTCTTTTATCTCCTTTTGAGGACAGCAGCAGTGAGCACCCACTCCCCAGTCACCCAGAAAAGTGCAGGCACAGTAGTACTCTTTGGATTATTTACTTTTGGGAAGTGTGTAAAGCCTAGTGATCTGGCCCCCTGCTCTTCTTCTACATCTAATTCTTGGATTAGCAGTGCTGCTCAGATAGTGTCTTGGAATTAAAAGTGCTGTGAAATTGAATAAAGTCCTTCACATCTCTGAGTTATCATTAAAGGCTCTCTGCAGACTTGAACAAACTGTGTTCTGATAGTGATTATGTTGAGGTCATGCTACCAGCCATCACAAACAGAAAGGATGGAAGTTTTATTTTAAAACCTAAACTAAAGCTGGCATGTCTAGCTATCCAACTCAGCAGCCAGCTTTTAGATTGAGTCCAAGAGGCCTGGACTGTGGCCCAGCATTGCATTCAGGCAAAAACACATGGAGCTGAGTACTGAAGTACAAGGGAAGAATAAATACTACAGAGCCCTTTCTGTCCCTGCACTTGAGACTGTGGTAACACCCCCAGATGAATGTTTGCCATGCTGCTGTGTTTGAAAGTGGGGGTGCAGGGGTCCTGTTTGGGTTTAAGAGCTCTTCAGAGCTCTCCAGGGTGCGGCCTTGCCATTCCCTGGCCTTTCCAGTGTGCTTCATTTATATAGGCAGGCACTGCTTTGAGGCTAGAAGCATTGTAATGACGTTGAGAAGATGAAGAATGCATTACTGTGGTGCCTCCTCTTGCATGACCATAGTTCACAAGAGTGCAGGCCTGCAAGTGACTCTGAATGCCACTTGCCACCCTGAGAAATACCATTACAGCGTTCACTTTATTATTTATTATTTATTATTTATTATTTATTATTTATTATTTATTATTTATTATTTATTATTTATTATTTATTATTTATTATTTATTATACATACAAAAAGCAAGTATTAATCTCAGTGAAGGAAACACAAGCTTATCCTACAGCAACAATGTTATTACATTTAGCAACCAGCTATTACATTATTATTACACCAGTTATTACATTACAGCAACCAGGACCACATGTGATGCACACCTGTTTTCCAGAGAAGTGCTTGTCACCCAATCACCACACCAGACCAAAGAGGTACAGCAAGGGCACACAGGACATAGCAGTAACACAGGGATGCGTACGACTGGGAGCAGAAATGTTTTCTTCTTTATATTTGATGAGGATTCCTTCATCTTTGTAGGGCAGGGTGTCCTACAGCAAACTGGTTCATCTGAGACTCCTCCCAGCACTCCAAAGGTGGGATACATTTCAGTGAAGCTGTTTTTTTCTGTTAGGTCAAGAACCTAACTAAGGTCTCTAGAGTCCCTCTGTGGTCTGAGGCAGAAGAGACAGGTTCAGAAGACAATCCATCTCATTAACTTTAGATGCCTCTCTTACAACAACACTCAGCTGGCTAAATGATGGGAATATGGAATGAGAATGAATCATGACTTAGGAGCACCTGCTCCTACCCCTTGGCCATGATGAGGTATGAAATACGAGAGGTGAGTGTTGCTTTAAGGTGCTGGGGATTGACTTCAACCCAAGGGATGCCTGAGAGTGGTACAGGGCTCACATCAGGGATGCTTTCTTCATTGCCTCCTTCAGCTGCCAGATCAGGGCACAGGAAGCCTTTCTGCTTCAGCTGAACAGCTGCCCCTTAGGGTGCCCAAGGGTCACTGAAAGGAAGAAAACAGAACATCTTTCCTAGGCATTTCTTGGGCTTTGGTGTTCCCCAAGGAAGGATTAGGTTCTTCCTAGAAGTGAGCAGGCAGGAAGAGAGAAGGAAAAAATTACTTCTTCAAGGCTATCACTGGTGCAGTCAGCAGAGCAGGGAAAAAGAAGACATTGTCCTTCTCCTGCTCCCCCCTCTAACAGCTGCCAGCTCATGCTCAGATGATGGGGGCTACAGACACACTTTCAGACCTCTGCTTCTGAGATGAGTTCACTTGCAGACCAGGTGCTTATATCCTTGTATCAGCACCAATCTCAGAGTTTCTTTCTAAGCTTGCTTTAACACTGTTTTTCTCCTCAGCAGCCTTCAGTTCATCCATTCTCTTGTCACAAGACAGTCTTTTGGGGCAAGCAGGGAGATAGCGAAACCAAAAGACATTGCAATACTTGGTGCCTATGCCAAAAGGAAGATCATAGACCTTGGAAACGAGCTGAGAGCTCTGCGTCCTTCCCTCATGGCTTTGTTTCCATGCCAGGAGCCCCCGCTCCTCCTGTGTTCCTGCAACAGCAAAGTGAGATTGTTGTGTTTAAAACAGCAGGTGTTAGAGCATAGGGCTGCTTTTTGTGCCTCACCCTCTGCTCAAATCCCAGCAGACCCAGTACAAAATACAAATCCCTTCTACTTAAACCCTTCCAGCTCCAAAGAGTTCTACAAATATTTACTAAGGAGCTTCCAGACAACACACTTTCTCCTGCAGCAGCTTCCAGATAAGCAGCCTTCTCCACTTTTTCCATGGCAATCACGTATACCAAGAAGTTTTCACCTGCCATAGAAGATCCGAAAACTGTTCAAAGAGGTTAGTGCGGGGTGTTAACTGCCCAAACACTTCAGAGCAGATTTAGCTAGCAGTTACTAGTCAGTCACAGGTATTTACCCTATCCAAAGGAATTCCTAAGTGCCTGTAACTGCTGTGGCAGCAAAGTATCTCTTGGGAAAGGGAGTGAGCACACCTGTCAGTTCTGCCCAGAGGAGCTGACTGTCGAAGACTAGAGGAAAATTAATGAGCCAAAGGGAGACTGGCTTTCCAAGAAGCCTCAGACAGTAACAGAATCTGGTTAACAGAGTGTTCTTCCTTCCTGCTCTTTTCCTGCAGCAGAAAAGAGGGTTTCCTCTCCTATTCTTATGCCCTCCCTCTCCATGCTAGATGGAAACCCAAGGCTCTTTGCTGCCTGTGAGGGCCAGCTGTAGGTGGCCTGTCTTTCGTCACCAGTCTTTCCTACTGCTTTCCACTGCTGTGGCTTTAGTTCAGCCTCAGTTTTAGAAGCTCCCATACAAGCACACGTTGGCTACTTCCACTTCTTATAGCTGCTTTCCTCTCTCCTTTTAACCAGCAACATGGTTTTAGGCTGGCATTTTCCCTGAAAGACCTATTTGCCAAACAAACCTTTTCTTCAGCCTAGGTTGTTCCTGACAAATTATTTAATTTTTGATAAGCTGCTGTTTTCCAGACAAGGACCATTTCAGTGATGTTTCTCATCCTGTTCCTCACATCTCTCTGGGAGGAGTGCAGTCACACAGTGTTTCATGGCTGCTAGCACAACTCCTATCCATAGAACAGGAGTCATGAAGACAAAAAGTACCAGAAACAAACCCTAGGACAGGCACAAACTAGCAGCTCATTTCAGCAAATCCTACCTGGAATGGTATTATCCAGGATAAAGCCCAGAAGTCCACCCACAAACATGCCAGTGGTGAGAAGCACCAGGATCACTTGGTCAAGCTGGATGATTCCTAGCAGAAAAAAAAGCCTTAGATCATGGTGCAGGAAGATGCATTTCACCTGTTTATCCAGCAACATTTCTGGTGCCAAGAGGCTGCAAGCTGCATGCTTGCTTGGACTAGGCTTGCTTGGACAAGACTTGCAAATCCAAAGCCGAGTGCAAGATTTGGCAGTGGAACGGAGAATGATCTCACAGCCAGTTTCAGACCTACAGTTTTGTTCTACATGATTATGCACAGACTCACAGTGGGCAGGAGATGGCTCATAAATACATTAAGAGCCTATTAACACTGCAGACCCCAGCACTGTTCGAGAAAAAGCCACCTTTTGCTCCAAACACATTCAGCACCTCCACAACATAACATCCAACAGCTCCCTACAGGAGCACGAGCTTCAGTTCCCAAAGAAATATGAGTATATTTAGCACGGGATTTCACCACAAGTTCATCAGGTGTGATGTTTCCCCTGGAGGGCTGATGGCCATGGGCAAAGCCCAGTGGCACTGAGCATCTGATAGAGCACCTGTAGAGCACGTGGTCTGTGGGCCCAGCTCTTTAATCAGCCCACCCAGCAGACCACGTATGCTTTAAGAAAGGACACTCTGGCCTTTGTGATGTAGACATCAGTCACACAAGGCCAGCTGTTGGAGAACTGAAAATTTCAATAAAGTGATCTTGATGGAATTTAGTAGAGGAGTATGCTCTTGCATTTTGAAAGCACAGCATTTTATTGTGTATGAGCACATTAGAAAGCCTCATTCACTGAGAACCTTGATCAAGATTTAGCCCTGGAGTATTCTCTTGCCCTGCCCCACGAATTCCCTGTCCCAGGGAAGTGCTCTGCAATCCTTAGCCCAAGAAGAATCTGATGAGGTGCAGTCATTGACAAAAAGCAGAGATTTCTGTACCAGGGCTGTGCATGAGAGCAAAAGGCAAAAACAGCCCTCACACAACAGGCAACGGTCAAAGCACAGGTTTTAGCATTTTATCAGGAAAAACTATTTTAAGAGATTTATCTGATCAGCATTTCCTTCAGTATTATGCTACAGAAAATGTTTCTGATGTCACTTCTTACCTGTTTCCAGCAGCGTACTATTTTTGCTTGCCCAGCTGGGAATTGTGAGGCCAGCAAAGAGAGAAAATCCAAAGATAAAGATGTTTCTTGAGGAATTCATATCTGTATACTGCACAGAGAAATTTCATACGTTACATGCATAAAACTGTGGGTTACTGTTGTGTTTGTGAGACATGGTGGGATGCAAACACTGGAATTGGGAATGGACCCAGCCCTGGTGCTCCTGGAGCATTTGTGATCCTGCAGCCCCCAGTGCCAGCCAGCCCTGCCCTTACCAGGGAGCCCTAAACCAGAGTGATTTAGCCCCTCTGGGTTCAGCCCCTTATCTTTACCTGAGGAATTGCCAACATAAATGTTTACATTTGCTGCAGTGTGGTTATAGCCGACTTGAAACTGGGGGTCCTGTGTGCAGTTTTGGGCACCACAATGTAAGATATAAAGCTATTAGTGAGTGTCCAGAGGAGGGCCACGAGGATGGTGAAGGGTCTGGAGGGGAAGCCGTATGAGGACCAGATGAGGTCACTTGGCTTGTTCAGTCTGGAGAGGAGACGACTGAGGGGAGACCTCACTGCAGTCTGCAGCTTCTGCAAGAGGGGAAAAGGAAGGGCAGGTACTGATTTCTTAACCCTCATAACCTGTGACAGCAAATGGCATGAAGCTGAGTCAGGGGAGGTTTAGGCTGGATATCAGGAAAAAGCTTTTCACCCAGAGGGTGTTTGGGCACTGAAGAGGCTCCCCAGGGCAGTGGTCACAGCACCAGCCTGACAGAGCTCAAGGAGTGTTGAACAGTGTTCTGAGGCACATGGTGTGACTCTTGGGGTGTCCTGCACATGGCCAGCAGTTGGACTCAATGGTCCTGATGGGTCCCTTCCAACTCAGCTTGTTCTGTGATTCTCTGTCTCAATGGAATTAAGTCCCCTTCAGTAGGGATGAAGCAGTGCTCACACAGCTGTTACCTGTAAATTGGAAATCCCCACTGCTGCGATAACTCCGAACATCACAAGGAACATGCCTCCAATGACAGGGATGGGAATGCTGGCAAGCATTGCCCCAGCCTTCCCAAAGATGCCACTCAGGAGCATGGCACAGGCACCAGCAATGATCACCATTCGACTCCCTACCTGGGGCAAGAGGAAGAGGAGGCAGTCATGCACTGACCAGCAGGGAAAGGCGAGGGGTAGCAGGCTCCAGCACCGGCCTGTCAGATAGGTGTTGCAGCTCTGGCCCCAGCATTTCATGGCATGTTCAGGAACAGGTTTGGATACAGCTGCTGGTGAGCTGACACTGAATGGAAAGCATCAATATTTGTGCACCATAAATACTTATCATGAAAGGCACTCTGAGGGCACCAGACCTATTTACTCAGTGTTATCCTCTCCCTACTATTGACAGAACTTCAACAGTTTGCTATTAAACTGAAATAAAAACAATTAAATTAAGAGCACAGTAATCCCCACTTGTTCTTGCTTGTTCTTGCTTTAGCCTAGAAATATCTTGGCATACATACAAGCCTGGCATTGCAACCCCCCCAGTCAATTCACTGGACAATCCTTCCACCAGGGTTTCGATTGCCATCCAGAAATGACTTTCAGTGAGGTGTCCCACAATGATCCCTCCATTCCCTGGAGACCAAGATTTCAGAGACCAGAGCTGGCTGGCTACTCCATCCTGAGCTCTGGGATCTGATATATCCTTTCTATGGTCAAGCAATAAGAGTATGAAGTGAGGAAGTCTCTTGATCTGTCCTTATCTCTCACCACCTGTCTGTCTTCAGTAAAACCATTTTTCTCTCATTTCTTCCCCTAGGAAGAGTCAGGGTGGCCTTTCCTTGGTTGAGCACTACAACAAAGATGGGACGAAGCACCAAGCTATGTCCTTCATTCAGATCTGCTAGAGCATATGAATAGGAAAGAAAAAGAGTATCTGCCAAACAAAGGGTTGAAAGAGACATTTATATGGAAAGTGAAAAGGAAAGCAGTAATATTTATTAAACTTCCCAGTCAAGATGTGTCTTGCCCATACCAAAACTTGGATTGCCTAAAGAATCATGCTAAACTTACAATATTTGTGTCAGGGAAACTCTGTAATCCTCTGCAAACATTTTCTAATTCAATTAAATATTTTAATCCCTCCCTTTAAATATCTGAAGAATGTCTAACTACAGGACAGGCTTTTTTTGAATGCTTTCAACAAAAGCATTCTCAGTAACTAATAGTGTCTCTTTTTAAATATTTTTTAAACATGTCCCTTTAAAATATTTTAAGTCTTTCTTGCTTTTGAAAGATAAATGAAAAAGATTTGGTGTGGAGTTTCCAAATAAAATCATGCATTGCCTTCAGGTGCTTTTTATACTCTTTGGCTTAAATGCTTTTTTATACTCTTTGGCTTAAAACCTTGGGACACTATTACAATCTAAATGTTAATTAATAAAAACCAACTGACCTATTTGTTCCAGGATTAGAACAAAGATTCAGAGTCTCAATTTGCTAAAATGTTGAATTACCATGTATATGGAGTTGGCCTTAAAGGCAAAATACCTAATCCAGTGATAGCACTGTGACAATATTCTGCTAAAGCCACTAGTTTGGAGTTTGTTTCAATTTTGTCAGGAAAACAATCAAATCAGTTCTATTTCTTAAGGCTGAAGAAACTACAAGGTTCCTGACAATATGTGGTCACTCTGAGGCCTTTACCTCTCTTTAAAATCCTCCTTTTCTTGGAAAGGAGTTCTCAGTACTGGCATACTGGGCCTGATCAAGCAGTTTAAATGTTGGTGCCTGGTGTCACGTAAGATGTTGCATCTTGGCAGCTTCTAGCAGCTTCTCCTTGCCTTCTCTGTCAGCCCCTGTATGTATCTGAGATCTCCAAAGATTTCTCAGGTGGTGCTGAACTTCTCTGTTTAAGTAGAGGAAACAAGTCCCTTGTGTTTCCACTTGTTATGGAAAAATGTGTTTCCCATGTTAAAAAAGAAATTAAATCTGCCTTGTGCTCTCAGCATCCCCATCTGTCCCCAGGCAGAGTGTTTGCACTGATTTAAATTGACTGAGATGACACTATTTTCAGCTCTTTCAAGTGTGGACAGAGTGAGCAGAGGTGGGATCCAAGGGAAATATCTCTCCTGAATCAGCAAGTATGGCAAGTCCTCCTGGAGCATACATTGTGAGAATATATGTCCTATAATCTGGTAATTATGAATTTGGGCAGCATCCCATACATAACAATGCATGCAGCAAACTACCCATCAGGAAAGAACTGGCTCAGGTAGATGGTTATTATGCACAGACTTCCTAGTGACAATGCACACGTGGTGATAGACTAAACTGGGCTCCATGCAGACATCCAGACAGCCCTTGGTGCTCTAGGGCAGCCACCTCAGTCAAACGCTAACACTGCAATGAGTGAAAAATGGTTATTGTGAGTGACATTTATAAAATCCAGTAAAATAAGCATTATAGAGTGGAAGCTGTAAGGAAAGTGCATTTATTTATTGAACTCACAGCTCTTCTGGCATGACATTGCTTATTTGGTAATGATTTGAAAATGTCCAGTTAGCAGCTAGATGTCTGTCAGCCTATCCTCTGGCTGCAAAGCTTAGTGAAAATCTATGATCTGATTTTCAAGCTTATATCTGGAAATTTCTTTCCCTGAGAAGTGCAATTAATATACTCAAGGGGCTCACAAAACTTTATAGAGACATAAAAACACAAACCTTTGCTCTCACATTTTATAATGTCTAGAAGAAACGGCCTACCTTTCACATGATTGCCATCCTCGGGTTATAGAAGTTGTGGAATTTGAAGCCCTATTAAATATTCACCCTCTCCTCTCCCTCTCCACACCTGTCCAGGTTAGCTCAGATGTAGCATCTCTTCAGCCTTACCCAGGCCAGGTGCCACGAGCGAGTGCACTAGTTCCCTATGCAGACCAGAAGCAGAGAAAGGGAAGCATTGCCCACCTCCATTAAGTCATCTGTAGCGCTGCTGTGCTGGTCACCAGCGTGCCAAGGCACGATTTTCCAGAGCGCCTTTCGGGAGGCGTGCTGAGATCACTGCCCAGCTCCAGCACACGCTCTCCTGTACTCACACACCCGCGGGGGAGCCCCCCGGGAGGCACCAGGGCCACCCCGCTGCAGCGAGGCTCACCTTGGTGATGCCCAGGGCCCCCACGTTCTCGCTGTAGGAGGTGGTGCCGCTGCCCGTGCCCCAGGCCCCGGCCAGCAGGCAGCCGATGCCCTCCACGCCGATGCCGCGGCTGATGGCGTGCTGCGGCGGCGGCGGGGCCCCGCACAGGCGGGCACAGGCGTAGTAATCCCCCACGGACTCCAGCATGGAGGAAATCACCCCGGCTAGGATGCCAAAGATCCCGGCCGGGCTCACCGTTGGCGTTCCCCATTGGCCTGGAAGCAAAAAGCTCGGTTTAGCTGAGTGGGGCACTTTTGCCCTGAAATCTGCCCCGGGGGAGGAAGGGCAGCAGGAATGCTGTGGGTGTTCGCCTGATTTCTGACATTTCATCTCCCCCTGTTCGTCATCAGTGGAGGTGCAAGCAGGAGCGGGCAGGATGGGGAAGAGGAGGCAGCGGTACCTGGGTAGGGCAGCCGAAACCAGGGAGCCTGTGACAGGACGTCCCCACGGGTGTCTGTCCGGGCCAGGTGGCCGTAGGCAGTGGGGGCCGCAGGGAGGACGCCGGTCACTGTCAGCACGTAGCAGAGCAGCCAGCTCAGCGAGAGCCCCAGCAGCACCTGGCCAGCACAAGCAGCGGTGGGGTCTGGTTAGGGTATGGCTGCATCTTCAGCAGTCTTCACGGCTCGGGTACCCCCGCCCGACCCTTTTCCCTGCACGCGGAATGAGGCGAAGAGGCGGCAGGACCTCCTGGTGGCCCTCCCTTCTTCTCTCCCTCCCTCCCAATGATCAGGGCCGTGGGGAGTTTTTCCCCCTCTGCCCCTTGCCACACAGGCTCAGCTGGGAAGCACTAACACGAGTGGAAAGAGCCCAGGCAGCCCGGGGCAGGTGAAGCCCCTCCCTCTGTCACAGTTACCTGGTATCCAGGAACCCCAACGTACCGGGAAGATCTGGAAGAGGTAGATTGGAGAGAAGTGGCACTTCTTGCCTCTCTTGTAAGATGGCAGCAGCACAGTAACATCTTTCAAGTATTGAGAGAACAGAACTATGAAAAAAACAGTCCTAGAAGGAGGGAAAATGAGACCATAAATAAAGTGGGTGCCCAGCTGCCCACCTGTCCCCACATTAAGTGAACACTTGTTACCCAAGAACCCAGGACTCCAGAGGACCTATAAAAACAGGCTCTCAGCATTAGAGGGTAGCTCCCCACTCCACCAAGCCAGAGGTGGAACAAGCTTTCCATCATAATCTACTGATAGCTCCACATATTTGCAAATAACTCTTTTATCCTTATTATTTCACGACTGACAGCCCAGGTAGTTCATCTATATGACACAGTTGCAGAAAGGTTAAAAATCCCTCCTAAGTAAAAGAAAGACCTGACAGACATGCAAGGTTCAGGTTCTGCCTGTGTAATTCAGACATACTAGAAATACAGGATTTACTGTTTCCTGAATTCAGGTTTACCCGTGCTGTTCTTCAAGGGGCAAAAAGCTCCTGTAACACAGAGTAAAAGAAGAGGATTTGGTTTGGCTGTGCAAATCCCTATTTTGAAAGAAAAAAAAACCATGGTGGGACTGTGGGGCTGCGCATGGTGCCCACAGAGCCCTCCCTGCCAGCCAAGAAGAGCAGAGCACAGCTCTCTGTCTGCGAGGGCTGCATGATGGACGGGCCCTCCCCGGCAGGGGTGTTCCCGTGTGTTCCTGGCAGCACCCGGGGCTCGTGCTGCTGGGAGCAACTGCAGGTTCAGCTCTTCTCCCATCCCTTGTGTAGTGAACATCTGTGAACATCTGTGAACATCTGTGAACAGCAGCACAGCCTGCCCCCCATGTGCCTTTTGCCCAGAAAGGCCAACCAGATAAAGCTGGAGGCTACCACACATGGAGAGGGGGCAGGGAGTGGGCATCCCACTTTGACTGCTGAGCTGGTGGAAGAGCATGGACATTTCCTGTGTTAACCAGGCCTCTGAAGGCCCCTTCATTATTTTATAACAAATGTAAATTTTATACATTGAATGAATTCATCTGGATAGGATTTGGTGAGAAATCAGTTGCACCAGCTGAAGTGCACTCACTTCACTGGAAAACTGGTAGTTTTCCCCATGTGAAAAGATGATGAACTGTAGGTGCAATAGTCAGGGACAGGCAGAATTCCAACAGTGCAAAGAAAACTCTATCCTCACTCCTTTGCAAAGGCACTCCATGACATACACATTTCAAAGCACTGGATGACTGGAGGGAAAAGGTCTGAGGAGGAGCTGGTTTCCATTTGTGGTTTCTAATGCTACAGAGTCCAGACAGACTGCGCAAGTGCACATTTTGTGCATCTGCATGAACAAAGGTGCTCAGCAGCCCTTATGACTCACCACAAAACCCTCACCTGTCTCAGGGAAGTTTCACTGCTTATTATTCAGGTTGCCTGACACATTCTATTAACAAACTCTATTTTCAGTTGCTTATAGTTTTACATAACTTTACCCATCCAGGATGAAAATTTCTGTGGAAAAATGCCTGCCTCAGGGCAAATATTTTTTGAAAAACATGTATCAAACCTATTTCAAAGAGTGACATTCAGGAAATAGACATAGCATGTAGCCTGCATTGAAAAGGTCATTTTGCCTTAGGCAGTAACAGGATCTCTTTATGACCTGAAGCAGAAATTTGAGATTTAGTATAACTTGTTCTCTGGGACAAGGGATATTGTTGTTTCTCACAAAAATCTGCTCAGGTATGCTCAGTCTGCAACAATGACTCCAGGTTCCAGGTCAGCAGAAACATCTCAGGTTTTCACATTTGCAGACCATAAAGATTCTGAGTCTTCTGAGTACATCCAGGCCTTGCCCAGAGATTAACTGTATGTGCATCATCACCAGAGAGTAAGTCACCATACACTAGAGAAGTTTCTTGAGGCAACAGTGGGGATCTTCCATCACAAGAGCTCTGGGATGTGGTGGGGCTGAACAGCAGCCCTGAGAGCACATGGCTCATGTCTTCCTCTTTCTCCATCCCTGCTTTCCCTCTTTCACTAACAACACCCATGGAGTATGGAGAAGGCAGCAAAAGAGGCCACAGCTGGGATGGCTCAGAGCACAGTGATCAGGCTGGGGCTAAGGTGTCTGAGTCAGGAAAGAAAGGAATTGGATTATCATGGGTGGAAGATGGGACAGAAATGAACAGGACAGAAAGGTGATTTGGGCTGAGAACAGGCTGAAGGACTGGGACCCCATTAATGGGGGGGCACAGTTGGGCAAAGAGGTCAAGTGTGAGTCTGAGGTTGGGAGCTAGTGGCTGGAGAAGAACAGCAGAGAAAGGAGATATAGAAACATACAGTTTGAGAAGGAAAATTCACATTTGCTAAGATAAGGAGTTAGGACAAATCACCAGAGCTGGAGAACAGGACAACAAGCCAGGAATATGATGGAACAATGGTGAAAAGACAGCTGGGTTTTGGGCAGGGTTTGGAATTGTATGGGGTGCTGATGGAAGAGACTAGTTAGGTGAGGAGCTGGTGAAGGAGAAGTGGCTTTAGGGTACTGGGAGGGCAGGTGCAGGGAGAAGAGACCAGGAGAGAAGTGTACTGGAGCATGTCCTCACAACAATGTGCTGTCTTCCAAGGGCTACAGTCAAGCCTGTGTCCCAAGTCTCCAAAATCAGCTCTGAAAGCAGCGGCAAATAACAGGAGCCCATAGAAAGGTTAACAACCTACTCCTGTTGCATGCTATCCCATGCTGAAGTCTACATTAGGGAGCTGAAGGTGCTAAGTCTGCAAGGCAACCATGCAGTGGCATTTCTCCTTTTTTAATTCATTTCTGAAATACCAAGGAAATTTTGCCACAGTCTGCAGTCATGCACAGGGGCAAGCACGCAAATATCCCTAAAAGAGCACTCGCTGCTACAAAGCCACGTATGTAAATAGGCCTTTCCAGACCCCCTTAGGTCCTCTCTGGAAGGAACAATTCCTCCTACTCATGTGAAGACAATACATAAAGCACCAGCTATTTCAACATAGATACCTAACTCTGAGTGCTCAGCTTTGTCATTTTAGGAATGTCTTTAAAACTTAAATAATGGGTGTGTAAGACAGTGTGTGCAGACAACAATGACAGAGACTACACACACGTGGAAAAGGCTTGTATCTCTACTGAACTTTGGATTTTTACAAAAATCAGGGTTTTTAAACTCACTTTTGGGTTTTGCTTTGTTGCTGAGGGCTTTAGCCTCCTGGGGGTTGGAGAAGAATGACTGTCACATGGCTGTCTTGCACAAGCCTGTCACATGCTGGTGCTCAACAAATAAACCTGAACCCAGGGGAACTCTGCTACAGACTGTGTCGCTTGGTTTCATATTAGAGGCAGGTGATTTGTGTACTCTCAGTTTCCCACAGAGATGTGAGACTTACATGAATGCTATACCCCAGTGCTGCCCAGCCATATCCCCAGCCGGCTCAAACAGAGGTAGTGCAACCAAGGTGATGGTGGGGGCAATTGTCAGGGGGCCGATGAACCTCATCAGAAATCCAATCAGGCCAGAAAATCCAACGAAGATTTGAAAGCAAGAAGCTACAATGATAGTTCCTTGCACCTGGAAAAATGGAAGATGAAAACAGAGTTTGTAAGAAGCTCCAACTGTTGAGCCTTTTCTTTATGTCAGTGCAAATCCAGCGTGAGAGCCAGGCTCAGTCTCCAGTGACAGACTGGCATAGAGGCCTCCTGCTGACAACAGTAAAACCTGACTGAGAATTACATATAGGAAGGACCACCAAAGCAGCAGCACAGCAGCTCCCCCCTTGGCTGATGGATTAAGTCCTCACCAGGGCTGATTTTGTTCCAGAGATCACCTCCTCCCAGTCCTCTTGAGCCACCCAAGCATGAGTCACCTGCCTGTACTCTCCTGCCTGCTCCCACAAGACAGGGGAAAAGCTCTTGCCCCAAAAACAGGAGCAGGGCCATGGTATCTACTGATCTCCCTTTTGGGAAGGGCTTGGCTCTCTTCAGCACACTGATGGGGGAGGCAACTCATCACAGCCTCTTTTTTTTCCTGAGTATCAGTTTCACTCAGGGAACACATTCCTCACCCTGAACTTGCCTGTGTTTGACAATCACTGCCAAGGAGGCAGCAATTACATTCTGAAATAATGCTGCCTTCAGTGTCAGCTTCAGGCAGGGGTGTGGCTGCTCTCTGCCTTTGAAGATTTGGTGACAAGCCCAGGTTGGGACCTCTGTGGTGCTGAGCACCTTCCTTTCCCCAGCTTCAAAGGGAAGAGAAACACAGGGTGAATGACCCAGGCTGAAAGGAGATTTCAGCAGTGCCCTTGTGATAGATTTATGTGCATCAGCAGAGAGCAGCCTGTGCTGCTCAGCAAATGAGCTTTCAACACTTCCCAAGTGATTTGGAAAGCACACCAACAAATGGATCAACAGAGGCAAATTCAGTCACTTGCTCTGATAAAGGCAATCGATATAGAATAAGGCAGTTAGACTCCTGACATTTCCTCTTCCTTTTTGATTACCTAAGAATGCCCTTTTCCTTAATATTTAAAGTAGGTTTTGCATTGCATTTTTTTTACTACGTTTCCTGTGCTTAGATAGGGCTCTTTCCTTGAAAATATTTTCCCTCCCTTTCTTCTTCTAGGCTAACCATGCTCTATGGAGAAGGGATTTGACTGGACCAGTGGAGACTTTGCAAGGACATAAATCACATGAGGAGATCTGCATGTCCCCCATTCAGCAGCAGTTAAACACCTGTTTTTTTGATACAGGATAGATGGTTAAGAAACTACAACAGCATGAGGGCCAAGGTTCATTTGGAATAGAAGTTTCTCCAGCTGTGATGGCCACTACATGGTCGGGCACTTTACTGAAAGCAACAGCCCTGATACAGAGCAGGTGCCACTGAAAACATAATATACCTCTCGCATCCGTGTCTGCCAGACTTGGATGAATTCTGGTGAAGAGGCATTCACCAGGGTGGCGTTCTGTGTCCAGGCAGGGCACTTCCAAGTGGGGAGAGACAGCATTGCCAAGGTGGGGGTCAGGAATGTGAAAGTCCCTCCTTGAATAATAGGCAGCCTGGAAGAAAAGCAGAGGGAAAAAATGGCAAGTGAAAATGCTAGAAACTCCGCTCCATAAGAGTGAGAGAAAGGAAAGCAAAAATGAATTTAAAAATCAGTCTGCCTGTGGCATCTGACAGTATCTTTTGAATTGTTGTGGCAGGTCACTGTCACTGACCATGGGTAGGAATTGCTGCCCATTGCATGCAAGAGCAATGACATCGGGTAAGAGCTGAGGTTCAAATACCAGCAATGGAGGGGTACACTGGTGCTGCAGTCCAACCCTGTTACCCCATCTTAAGGAAAAAATAGTGTTTTTAATGGCTGATGAGACCACAGACCTACACAGAGTAGGAAAAACCTGATGGAAGGGAGAAGACCAAGGAAGAAAGATGGTGAGATGCTGAAGAAAAGCTTAGCATCAGTATTGCCAATATCCAGTTGCTTCCTCTGTCCTCTTTGGCTGCTTTGGTTTTCTTCACAACTCCTTACGTGCTCATGCACACAAGGACATGCACTAACTTCTCTCCAATGTCACAACAATCCTCAGTCTGAGGGTGACAGAAAATGTGACTTGGCTTTCAGTACATCAGGTTTTAATGCAAATTCCTCTTCTGCATTTCCACTGAAACTAGGAAGGAAACCTGCATGGAAGGGTCTGTGGGCACTGACTGGGTGAGACCTTGGCTCTTCTCCCACACCACATGTCTCCTGGCTTAGAGTATCTCTCCCTCTGGGAATCCCTCAGGCTAGCAAGGAGCTTGCATCTCCCGAGGAGTTCAGCACTGGCTTCATGCAGAGATTTATACAGCAGAGCAATGCTATTTTGAGCTACACCAGCCTCTTTTGCCATGCATGAAAGAAACAAAGACCTAAAAGGCCTAACTGGGTCCTCAAAGCCCCACACAAGCCTCCATTGAAGTGCAAGTTTTTTTAACCACTCTTCTAGTATGCTTTAAAAATCCTAAACTGCCTGAGGGTGGGTACAGCATCCCTGAAACAGCCAAAGGAAATCTCCAAGGTGCCTCTTTTGAAACAGAGGCATTTCTACCATTCTTGAAATAAGAGGTGTTGTAACTGCAACAGACCATGTCTCTGTCACCTAAACCAAATATTTATACTAGTCATGCACAACTGAAGCACTGTCAAAGCTTTGAAACAATTTAGCTGGGCAAGGCACAAAAAACAAACAAAAAGAAAGAGAAGGTCCAGGGCCATGCCTTAGAATCTAACAATAGATTTATAGTTCCTGCTGTGTTGATCCTTCAGACATTTCACAGCCAGTATTGGAATGGGTGGGCTCAGAGGAGAATGCGGTGCCAAGGTAATGCTTATGTGGCACACTGGACTCTTTCCTGTGGGGTTTGCAAGAGGGAAAGCTACAGAAATAGGGAAGGCAATATTATATTCTGCTAATCAGTATATGATGTCCAAGCATTTACTAAGAAGGGCTCACCATAACAGCAAATGACCTGTGTCTCCCCTCAGGAGCCTCTGATAGTGTCTCCAGTGACTGACTGGGACCCACTGCTGCTTTTTCACGCTGTGTAACATGACTGAGCTGCAGGTTGCAGTGGGTCAGCTTTTCCCTTGATTATTGCTTTATGAATGTCCTCATGTCTTACAGCTGGGGTCAGCAGCAAGGCAATTGCACCCTCAGCAAGGCAAAAGCCATTCAAGTTTATCCCATGGGAACAACTCCTTATGACTTAATTTGATCTGTTGTACCTCAATTAGCTATTCAGCCATGGGAGAGAGAGGCTCTCTGCTACTCTTTCATCTCCAGCTAACAGAGAGCAGGGAACATTACAGCTCTCAGGAATTCACAGAGGCATGTTTTGGAGAGTGCCTGGAAGAACTCAGAATGCCTGAATTGCACCAGCAGTGATGGTCATGCACTCCAGGCTGAATTGGGATGAAGAACCAGTTTCTCTGGTTTTTGTGGTCAAGGTGCTCCACTCCTCCCTTCCTCCACTAATCCTGTAACAAGGTAGGAAGTTTGTCTACAGACACCTCTTAAGACTTAGAGAGAAAGAAATATTACAATAGTGAATGAAGCAGGAGGAAGAAAAACATTTTGTAGAGCTAGCAGTTGATGAGTGATTTGATGGCAGAAGTTTTAAGCAGAGTCCCTCAGATTCAGAAGCCAAAGAATGTGTAACTTTTGTCTTTGAAGCAAGAAACACAGGTTCCCACCATGTTGGAGAAAAAAACAGCCTGTGGAAAGAGAGAGAGACAGCCCAGAGTTACGACAAGGGGAATAGAAGAAATTTTTCAAGGTCAGCAAAGATATAGGGTCTTTCTGGAAAAGGAGAGTACTTGCATTCATCTCTCTCATTAAATACTTCTTTTTCTGGGTACTGAATGGCAACTCCATGCTCATCTCACTGCTGGCTGCTCATCAGCAAAGGATTTACCTTTTATGCCACAAATCCCTGAGCATGGGAAATGGCATCACTTAACAGGACATGCTGCTGAACTCTTCCCTGAGTCCCTAAGTGGTAGCAGATGGACTTCAATTTACCCTAATTATCCCCTCCCCTAGAGTTTCTTGTAGAATCTGTGCTCTCTTGACCCCAGGTCCAAATCAGAATGCTCCTGCCTCAGCTGGAGGATCCCTGGAGTAAGGAACAAGCAGGTACATTTCCTGCATGTTGCAATGCTTTATTATTTTGAGGAAGATTCCTTATAAGCCAAACAAAAGGTATATGAAGTCTCAGAGATATAAAATTTGGGACACTAAGGTAGCCCTGCAAAGCTGTAAGCAGTTTCAGGGTGCTTTGGCATGGACCCTGATTGCCCAAGGGTAACAAACGATTCACTGATAAACTCTATAACAGGGTGGTGGCCTTGCACACAGTAATTGTTCACATTCCCACTTCTTGCATTTGGCCTACCTGACTCCAAAGAGGACTTGCAGAAGGGTGCAAATTCCTGAGACAAAGAAGATGGTGCTGATCAGATGGCTCTGGGTCAGTAGGTCATGCTGGAGGCACAGCCCTTTGGAGAGGATCAGCGGGATGGCTACAAGACCTCCCATGGCTGTCAAGAAGTGCTAGGAGCCACAGAGAAAGACTGGGTGAAGAAGGACACAGGACTGGCTCTATGTTATTACCATGTTTTTGAGAGAACTCACAGATGTGTGCTTGGGTGACACTAGCATTTCCCATTCTCTCTCCTTTTTTTTGGGAGCTTTAATGCTCAGTTAGGGGCTGCTCCAAATCACCTACAAGAATTTCAATGCATCCACTGAAATGTCTCCTCCTTTACAAGTCCAAAGACCTTTCCTAGTGCTCTGGACTTCCCAGGTCACTGTCAGACACAACCAGCTTATCCTCAGCACCTGCAGACAAAGCTGTTGGACATACTTTTCCAGGAAGCTTGGGACCTCCCCAGGTACAGGGAGAGAGCAGTCAGGCAATGTGAATGCAAATATTTCAGTCCATCTTATTTGCACCACAAAGGATGACAGAAGAAAGTGGCACATTGGAGCTACATGATTTTTGCCCTCAGTAGCTTTTCTCACACAGTGCAATTACAGATCAATCACAAAAAGTGAGTGCCAAAGAATGGAAGAATTGGGCATTGTATTTGTCAGAAGAGTCACAGACATATTTCTACAGTGATGTGTAGTTAATGACTAAATCTGAAAATAATTTTTAAAACCTATTTTTGTTTTAATTATTAACCTTTGTTGTTTGCTCTCACTTTGTAGCACAGAACTGCAGTAGTGGAACTGGTGGCACTCAGAAACACACTTTATTCATTTCAGGCATGTTATATTAAAGGTATGATGCAGATGTGTTGGGTTGATACACTCTAAATTTCCATTTAAGGAAATAAAGTACAGAATTCCACCAACCTCCAGGCACAGTCTGTCATTATCTTAATGACTCTGAGGTCTCTTTTCCCTCAGGCTTCCTACCCAGCACAGCATTGGTGGCACTGCGTCATTTAACACACCTGGGTACAGACCAGCCAAAGCTCTGTGTGCCCTGCTGCTGAGTTTTTGTTGTCATGGGAAGGCAGAAGAAGTTAGTTTGGCTACCTTCTGCCAAGGTACCCAACATGTTCTTATTAACTATCTGCCCCAGCCCCAGGATTCTGACTGACCATTTGCACTTCAGAGGGTGCAATGTTGCCGTGGGCATGATGATAATAGTCAGTGCTCAGGATGTGGACCAAAGGACTTGAGCTAAGATCCAGCCTCAGAGCTCCACTCAAGCCCTATGAAAGTAAAGCACTCCCAAATTCAGGTTTCACCCCAATTAACTGGCTGAACAGCCATGTAACTTTCACCTACTCCCAGCCTCTACCTGCTTTCCTGTCTCACCTGAATGCCCAGCAGGATGCACAGATACCAGGGAGGCACATCTGTGACAGTGTAGGCAAGCTTGGTCCCACTGTGGCCAGTGCCCCCACCTTCCTCTGGGCCCCAGGCAGCATGAGCTGGTGAGGAATGGCAGTGGCTCCCATGTTCACCCTAGACAACAGGAGAGACACTTTGTTAGCCACAGCCTGGCCGTACAGCCACCCAGCAGCCACCTCTCTTGCAGCCACACTCCATGTCTGGCAGGAATACCTCCTGTGTAGCTTTCAACAACACCACAATATTAAAAGAAACAAAGAAAAAAAAAGAAAGAAAAAAAAAAAGGAGGGTAAATTAAAACGGAGGCGCAAAACACATCTGGAATTTTTTTTGTGTATGCTGGTGTGTCTAGGCCTGAAGAAACATTAGAGGGTGTCTCAGTCTCAAAGGGACATCCAGACAAAGTGCGTTAATATCATTAAAATCTAGTTAAGGATGAAGATACTGCAACCAGAAGCAAGGAAGAGTGTGCAGTGGGTTTGTCAGTGAAAGCATTGTCCTCTGGTCTCTGTACCTCCTGGCAATTCCACACAAACAGCATATTTTATAAATTTATACCTGGCTGCCACTAATTACTGAGTAGAAGCATGTTTTATATTTCATTTCCTTGGTCTTCTCTTTCAACCTCCTTATGCTCACCTTTAACAGTGTTCTGCCTTGATAAAGACACCTGCCTTTTGTCTTACTAGAAAACCCTGCTCCTACAGAGGAGCTGGATGAAACACAGGGACACCAGTAGATGGGAAATCCCAGCATCCATGCTGAAGGAGCTGGCTGAAACTGCTACCCAGGAAGGCTCAGGTCTCTTCCCAGGCAGCTAGAAGCCCCAGGGCTTCCCATGGAGATGTACACCTTTCAGAGTTTATTTATATAAAGATGCATTTTGCCAAGGAAAGCAAAGTAGTGCTTTGCTTCATTTGCCACAGCTTTTAAGTTGAGCACATTCTCCTGGTTGTTTGTGCCTCCTTCCAGCCCACTCTCACCCCTGTGCGTACACACATGCAAACATGCAAGGTGGAGGAAGGCTGTCTGGGAAACCACAACACTTAGAGCCAGATGCAAAAGCTAATTAAGATCCCAAAGTATTTGTTTCATTGACCCATCTCCAACCAGCAAGTTCTCAGCATCCTGGCAGCAGAGAGCTTTTCTAAGCTGAGATGCCCAGCTCTATCAGGCAGAAACAGAAACCTGCTGTCTGGAGAAGCTTAACCAGTTTGTCTGCACCAAACTTCTTTTTGTTTTTTTATCCTCCAAGTCCTGCAGGAACTTGAAGACACCAAAATACCCAACACAACAGCAAAGTGTCTGCAGTAACTCCCCCAGCCTACCTACACATGGAGGCAAACAGGTAGTGCTGTGGTCAGGAACAGAGACATAAAATTACTGTTGCATTCTGTTGTAAATTTTGCAGGTGTGGCAGATTATCATTGAATTAATTTGCCTGTAACTTCCAGGTTTGCATTCTCTTGGCTGAGTCTCTGAAGTCACATTTTAGGTCACACTGTTGATAACCGGCCATGTAATCCCTAAGACCCCAGATCCTAATATTATTATTGATCTGAATGGTTGTGTGAGGGGTAGGGAACTCAGGTTGTAAGAGTACAATTGCCCATTAACTTCTTTGTTCAAGATCCCTCCCCAGCATCACCCAGGTCGAGCTGTTTCTACTGCAGTACCACTCAAATAAACTACCTTAACAACTTAAAGCCCGAGACTTTGCTAGGGGATACCTATGATGGAGAAGCCTCTTTAACAAACACAGTGTTATTTATCCGGCCTAGGCAAACTGGGAGCATTACAGATACTTCAAGATAGATAGGTGAAGGCAGAGTTAATTCAAACTGGACTCAGGCATGAACTTCAAGAGCAAAAGGTGTTCCTTAGTAACTCCCTGTGCAGACATTTTCATTTCAGAACAAGAGAGCCTGAGCCATGGATTAACAAATGTACACCAAAGTACTTAAGACTACCCATGCATGGAGTTATTTGGGGACAACTACTCCTGAATAACACCACGGGTAGACAAATGCTAAGCTAGGCAGACAGCAGTAAGCTCCTTTCTTTTCATTGCAATTTTCCCCATATTAACCAGGAGGCATATTCCAGCCAGGCAGAGCCAGTAACAGCGCCGCATGACCATCACATGAGTGCCTGGTTCTCCCCAGGAGCTGGAGGAGAGTGAGCAGGGATCATCAGGAAAAGGATGGAGTGGAGATAACAGGATGAGACAGGAGCAGAGGCACTGGACTGAAACTGAAATGCAGGAGGTACCATCTTAAAATCTGGAAACATTTTTTGCTGTAAGTGACCAAGCACTGTACAGGCTGCCTAGAGAGGCTGTAGAGTCTCTGTCCTTAGAGATATTAAAAAACTGTCTAGACACAGTTCTAGGCAGCTGGCTCTGGGCAACCCTGCTTGAGCAAGAGTTTGAAGAAGGTGACCTCCAGAGTTGCATTCCAACCTCAGCCAGCCTGTGAGGCTGAGATACTGGCAGGAGGATAAAGCAGGAGCAGTCTGGAGCAGGGAATGGAAACTAATATTGGGAGTTCTCAGCCCAGCTGCTCCCATGAATCCAGAGAACCAGTACACCTTCCATGTGCCTCAGGCTCCAGTCACAGCATGAGCGCCCTCAATCATGTCTTAAAGAAGTGCATCAGGAAGTCAGTCAGGAGCTGAACTTCTTGAACCACAGGTAAAAGACCTCTGTCTTCCACCTTCTGTAGGGTGATTCAAACCATAAGAATTCACAAATCTGGTATGTGTTATGGCAGAACAAGTTAAAATGGAGAGCTTGTTAAAAAATAATGAAAGAACACTGATTGAGCACTTTCCTAAGGCTCTGCCCACAGCTGGCACAGCACCCCCACTGCACAAAGCAAGCTCACCCAGAGCTACCCAAGAAATGTGGGACTTGTACACCAGGAGGTTAAATGCTTCCTCCACGGTAGCACAGACAGCTGGTCTGTACCAAGGTAGCAAGATGTTTGCAGGACCCCATTTCTTCACACCTGCTGACAGAAAAGAAGCAGTTTTTAGTTTCTAATGGAGGTGACCCCTGCTTTGGGATAGGAAGGGGGCTGCCATGTCCCAGGACCTTGCCCATGGCTGGTATAGCTAGCAGCATTCTCAGTGTGCCACACACCCCTGGACTGGCACATCATTTACAGCTTTTACTACATTTCTATAATTCTACAGGGTGTCCTCCTCAGATAACACCCAAATCCCTTCCTCACCCACCTTTCTAACAATTCATCTCACTAGAAATAAGTCCAAAAGACAAAGAAACACAGTCATTACTAGGCTAAATTTCTATTTTAATTTTTCTAATTAATACATTAGATGCTTTACCCAGGAACACAGCCACAAGCTCACCTGCTTTTCAGTACAGATACACTAGTGCTGACATTCATCTACATTATCATTTTAGAAATAGTGGAGAGAAAAGAAGTTAAAAGGGTGCCAGAGAGCAGAAAGCATGCTGAGTCTGCAGCAGCAGCAGGGGCTGTAGTGAGGAAATCATTCTTTGGATTTGTGTCGGTAGGAGCCGAGACAGAAGTTTACCACACAGCAAAATCATTGCAGCAGCCTGAGCCCCTGGCTCTCCCGTTCTCCTCCTGCCACAGGGTTTGCACCTGTTCATGCAAGAATTACCCTTCAGAGAGCAGACTCACCACAAAGCTGGGTTTATCTAGCCCGTTGAGATCTTTGTCTGAAGATGGAGTCATGCCTTCCACTTGCCTTCACCGACTGCCTTGAAAAAGAGACAGTCAGAAGAGGAAAGCCTCCCAAATTCCCACTCCTTCCAGTCAAAACAGCCCTAAAGAAATGGGGTGAGAAGATGCAGAAGCTGGATTTCAGGAGCTAAACAGCACACAGTCCTAGCTATTCATGTGAGCTGTACTGCAGAAGCATTTCCTTTTCTTTGGCTTATATAAGTGACTCCTTTTCTCCAGCTGATTAGAGGATCGGCATTCAAATCAAACTGGAAAACAGCCCTTCCGTGGAATGAGACAATCAGTAACTGATAACAGAAAAATCTTCATCCCTAGATAAGGATGCTGGGGGATATCAGAGAGGCATCCCACACAGCCTTGTAACTTGTTGCTTCATTACTACTTCAACAGCAACTTGCATTTTTTTGTGTGGGTTGGGCCTGTTTGAAGATCTTTGTCGTCATCTTGGGGACATTCAATTACTAAATAGTTTCACTTGTTTCATATGTAAACTACTGTGTATTTTGGCTTAGGTACAAACATTGTCTTCTTGTAGGATACTCCTATTACAGCCTGAAAAGAATGAAGCCTTTACTGTGAATTTATTTATGGCAGCAATCAATAACTAATTGTTGAGATATATTAGTTGTTTAGCTTAAATAAATTTTAAATAGAATGAGTCATAATTGTAATATTGTGTGATTTAGAATACTGTTTGCTTGGCTTTACTTTCTTAGCATGAGTAGCTGGATTTCCTGAAGCCTTGGGCCACATGCTGTGGACTTTCACAGAGATATGCTTTTGGCTGAAATAAAGTTAATTTTCCTAGTAATTGGTACAGTGCTATGTTTTATCTTTAGTATGAAAAGAATACTGATAATACACTGATGATTTAGTTGTAATATTTATCCTAACACTTTTTTAGTTCCCCATGTTCTGCCAGTGAACAGGTGCACAAGAAGTGCAGAACAGAAGATGAGGATGCTACAACCATCAACTCAATAAAATAAGGCAATGGCCTGTCAACATGAAGACAGAGAAAAAGTCAATAATATATTAGAAGACCCAGACCAAAAATCACCATTGGACTAAAAGACTGCATTAAGAGCACATGAAGGTCAGGTGTGTGATCTTAAGCATAAAAATGCCTGGGGATTTCTTTGTTCATGGTCCCTCTCCTAAGGCATCCAGCTCAAGCTTATGTGCTGCTGAACTTCTCTATTAAATTCTTTATTTTTATAAATTCTGATGCCTGAGACTGTTGTAGGAAACCTATGGTTGAGCCTGGCTCATGGAACTGCTCACTGTGAAGGGATTTTGGTCTCTGTTGTTATAGTCTTGGCGGGGTGGGGGTGGGTGTGTTTGTGACTCCTGGAACACTCAGGCAGTGGCTTCTCCTTTCACACAAGCCATCAGAACGCCACACTAAAGAGGTCTAGAAAACATAAGACTGAAAGACAATGACTTTGAGTCATCTGATTATCCTCATGCACCTCATGCAGCTAAGGATCCTAGCTCAGGACCATCAGATGGCCCAAAGCATAGATACTCTTTTTTTAACAAGCAGCAAATGGTGTTAATGCCCCATCAAACCATTCCAGCCACCCCACCCCTACTTAGAATGATTTCTGTTTAATTTAATGGCTTCCTAAGGCAGTGATCTTCCCAGACCAGTTGCAAAGAACTCCTTCAGCAAGGAGCATGTTATCACCTACACTTAGTTATCGGCCATTGGCAGTATCTCCTGGTTTCCATGAAGGATGCAGTGGAACTGAAATAAACTCCAGTCCCTATTCCTTCAGTAGACCTTCAGTATTCTCAGATCTTCTCTTGAGACCGAGACTTCATTACAGGATAGGACAACATCTCCCTAAACACTGAGTGAAGTTACGACCTGCTTGACAGATAAATTCTAAGACATCAAAATCATTGAATCAGAGGTTGGTTTGCATTAGAAGAGACCTGGAAGGTCATAGAATCATAGACTTAGAATGGGCTGGGTTGGAAGGGACCTTTAAGATCATCTAGCTCTAGACTAGAATGGTACATTATTCCTCTGGGGCTAGTCTATCTTCCCAATAAATTTTTATTTTTATAAAACAAGTCTCCTACCTCCTAATTTCAGCCCAGCATCTGTTCAATGACTCCTCAGTCCTGCCATAACCTTGTTTTCACATGAGACCCAGGCATTCAGTAACCCAAGCTTCTTAAACAACTTGTATAAATTTGTGTAGCATCCAAAAGGCATGGGTGCACAACAACACCTGTGTCACCTAGACTAGCATGAGAAACTGCCCACACCATTGCCCACTTTCTGCAAGGAAAGAGGATTACCCATGGTCACTGACTTGAAGTTAGTACCTGTGTGTTCACTGAATCATAGAGTAGTTTGATTTGGAAGGGACCTTAACTGCCACCTAGTTCCAAGCCCCCCTGCCATGGACAGGGACACCTTTCACTAGACCAGGCTGCTTCAACCCCCATGGAACCTAGCCTTGAACACTTCCTGGGACAGGGCATTCACAATTTCTCTGGGCATCCACAACTTCTCTGTAGTTCAGAATTCAGTAGTGGGAGTGTGGGAGTGTGGGGAAGGACACTTTAGCAGAGGGAAGATTTAAAAGGTTCAAAGAGGCACAAGAGAAGGTAGGGAGAAATGCCACTGTGGCTCAAGAAAGCTTTACCCCTCAGTGCATCCCCATCAGCCAGCAGGGGGATCTGAGTGAAAACACAAGAGACACTTAAGCCAGCATTGAAAACCATCAGCTGAGCGTTGCCTTGCAGGCTGCTGTGATGGAGAAGCAGCCCTTGAAGGAGATCACCCACAAGGAATATACCACAAAGGTGGACAACTCCAGCCAAGACTGTTGAGCTAGGAGAGCTGCAGCCTCATGGCTATGACAGCTTCCCCACCAGCTTCTCCTTCCTCTTAGCACTCCTCACAAGGAAAGGACTTGCTGACCTAGGGCATGGACATGGTCCTCTCCTGAGCCCAGAGTCGCTCCCTGCAGGAACAGCCTGGTGCCCTGCTCTGGTGCCCAGCTCTCCTGCTTAATGCAGATGTCTGCCTCTGGAAAGCAGGAACTGGGAGCTGCATCGAAATCCCACTCCAGCAGGATATTGGTTTTGTAATAATAAGCCCCTTTATCTCCCTCAGCCACAGGCCAGCTTTTAAGAGCATTAGCAAAGGGTTAAGCCATGTCATCTACTCAGCATTTTGAGCATAAGCATGGTTATTGTGTCACAGGGGTTTTGCTGAGCCTGTTCATTCCCTGGCATGCATGACAAGACTTACTGCTGCCGACCCTGTGCTGAAGGCCATGCTTTTGGCATGTACTCAGTCCGCAGCTATTTCACATCGGGACACATCCAGCTGCAGGGAGGGGCACTGCCTTAGGTTCTTCCCACTGTCCTCCAGCCATCAGCAGCAGAGGGACCAGCTCATAAGCCCCAGCAGGAGAAGATTCCAGGCTCAGGCTCAATAGAGAGACCACTTCAGGGTCAGTCCTGTCCTGACAGATGTATTTCCAGAGCCCAGGGGGCTGCCTGCACTCCAGCTTCTGCTGCCAGGAGATGTGCACCCTGGGCATGCCCCGAGGCAGGCTCCTCTGCCATCAGTGTTGCAGTGTCACACAGTCCAGCCTGCCTTAAAACTTATACCTTCATTGCACAAGCAAACAGCAAAATCCCTGCAGTCAGACTGAGAAAAGAAAAAAGAAAAAAACCAAAAACTCCCAAGAAAACAGCAATATTCACCGAGACAGGGAGGAACACACCTCCTTGGTCTGTTCTCCAGGGGGAGCCAAGGAAAGGTCACTGTTTAAGAAGGATTAACCAGAAAAGTGAAGAAATGAAAGTAGTTTCTGAGCAAGATCATTATGAGTCACGGGAGGTTGAAACAGGTTTTTCTGAGAAATCAAGTAAATCCCTTGGAGAGAAGCCCAGAAGTATCAGCCCAGCCAAAACAAAAAAAGGACTGAGAGATGGATGGACAAACAGAGCAGGATTAAGGCGTTCCCACATCTAAAGTCCCATGGAGGTGACAAGAAACCTCTCTGCAAGTGCAAGGAGGGCCAGAGTACTGCTGAACTACCCCAAGTAGGAGCAAGAGCAAGCCCCAGTGCTGGGGAGGAAGGCAAGCAAGGACCAGCCACTGCCTGACCCCATGACTCCCTTCCGCTCTGCAGACACCCTCATCTGCACCCCTGTGTTGGGACAGGATGTGACAAGAGTTTGATTCTGTCTGACGTTTTTATTTCTTCTTTATGTACTACAGTAAATCACACTAAGACTGTAAGACCACTGTTGGGTTTTAGAAATAGAAGCAGCTCACACATCCAAGGCAACATTCCCACTCTCAGAACCAACTGGGGCAGCCATAGACAGCCAAGCACACTGGCTACAGCTAAAGGCCACAGATATAAAAAGAGAAATGAACAAAAACTGACCCATCTCCATGCAGAGCTGTATTTGTTCCAATGCTACTAATGAATAACAGCCTCTAACCCTCATATCTGCAGTAAGTCCCAGGACAGGCAAGGACGCAGTATAGAAGAGGCAAAGGGGACCCACAGGGCCAGGGGAACTCCAGGGGATGCAAGGAGGGGAGAAGAGAGCCACAGCAGGGGATGCTCCAAAAATCACCTCAAAGTCCTGTTGGTCACACAGCTGGTGTACTGGCTGCTGGGGATTGCCTGCTCCGAAACATCTGGCTCTCAAGCACTCAGGCAACATGGAGCATCTTTTCTCTTCGTGGTTGTACACAAGTGACCAGGCAGGAGTAGGTAAGAGCAACATACATTCCAGGAGGCAAGAGCTGGTTGCTATTGCAGCCCCTCCAGCTATAAAACATCACAGCCTGAAATGGCAGGCAGAGAGATGCCAAGCAGAGAAAAGGAAAAGGAAAAGGAAAAAGAGATTTCTCTGCAGCTCCCATAGTGGCAAAGCCAGTGGAATTGCTGCTATGAAACCCTTTTGATTCCCACGGTTCATATCCTACTCGACTGCTGTTG